AAAAAATAATAACAATACAAAACAGAACACAACACAAGAAAAACTAACAGACAATTATAAACCAGAGACATCCTGCAGGGGAGGAGGGGGGAGAGAGATTGGAGGAAGGGAGGAGCACAGGGGACTGAGATGGTGGTGCACAGGTGCATTGGTGAAGGAAATTCTATAGGGACTACACCTTGGGGCGGGGGGAGCAAACATTGCTTAAAACAAACAATGATGTAAAAAAAAAATATATATATATATAAAAGAAAAGCAAAGATCCAAAGGATGATGTCTAAGTCCTGTTCTTTCATTTAAAGCTGTATTTTATCTGCTCCTGTGCTTTGTGTGCTGCTGTATAATCTCCTGTCTTGCCACATACTTTTATAAACCCAACACCATTCCTTGGACAATATTGTTACTTGAACTTGGCATGCTAGTTCCAAGTGATCTACCTTTGCTGGTCTCTTCCCCAGTTACCACCCAGAAAACCCTTTCCACAAACCTCACCCCTCTCTTTCTCCAGGTTTTACCCATTCATTTAATTCTCCTTGTTTTTTTTTAGTTCTTCCTTGGGAATATGGCTTTTCTGCCTTTGATTTTTGGAACCAAAACATTGCTTTACCCTTTGAAAGAGTTCCATAATTGTATGTTAAATATGTGAGTGAAGGAAACAGGGGGACTTATTTAGGAGACATTCAGATTAAGAAGCTTTAGTATTTAGAAATAATGAAATATGAGTAAGAGCAGCTTCAGAGCCAAAATACGATGAACAATTTCATTATGGAAATATGATTTTCTAGGTTCAAGGTACCTAATCGAACTTACATTCTAAAAACTTTTCTTTACCTGCTTCCTTGGCATTTCTGCCCAAGCCAGCAAGAATTCTTATTCTTTCTTTCTCATGGCTTTACATTTTGGTGTTAGAATTTTCTCTTTCAAGTTGGGTCATCTTGCAGTTGTCTTTATGTGTAGATAATGAAAACCCAACACAAATCTGAGTAATTCTCTTCTGTATTGTAGCTGTTTCCCAACTCCCCCACCCCACCTGCTCTGCCTACCACATATCCCAGCAGCACTCTCCTGGCACTTCCTTAAACTAACAACAAAACCCAAAATAGACTGGCTTGAATTTTGACGACTTTTATTTTCTTCCTTCCAGTTTTCCTAAAAATGTGTAGCAACTGAGAGAATAAATAGGAGTTATTCTTCCCGTCCCACTTATTCTGTCCCTGAAGTGTTGATTAGAAGGAACTGAACTTTCAAAGTGAGTTCCAGATTTAGCATATGTTAATAATTTCAGGTTTCTCCCACATCGCTGATTTAAATGTTCAAAAAATCATTATAGCTGAATGGACAGTGAACTCTCCAGAATTTAACTTCAAAGCTGCACAGCAATATTGAAGATTGATGTAAAATACTTGTGAAGAAGCACCAGTAGGAAGATAAGACAGTAGTATGCTTCCAGTGAGACTTGACTTAGAGTAATATCTACATTGAAGAAAGAGGGTAGATCAGTACCTGTTAGATTTAGTACGTTAAAGCATGAACTGGGCTGCCCCAGGATCCTTCTCTGGAAGAAACTGTCTTTAATTGGGGGGGGGGGAATGGCATAGCAGCCGGGGGAAAAGCAAATTTTGCTTAAAGGAGCAACACCTTAGATTTAGGAATAAGAATATTACTTGGGGGCCTCCCCGGTGACGCAGCGGTTGAGTGCTGGGCTGCGAAGCTGCCCGCAGCCTCTGCAGCGCCAGTTCGATCCCCGGCCACCGGCGAGGGTCCCACATGGTGCGCAGACCTCTCCTGCTGCGCCCGCTGCTCCCCTCAGCAGTGTACTTCGTCGTTCTGCCTGTTCTGTTCCCCGCTCTGGCTCTGGTGAATTCTCTCACCCTCCCGCGCTTCTGACGGTACCCAGTACTTGTATAAATAAATAAATCTTTAAAAAAAATAGAATAATACTTGGAATGATTACAGGAGATAAGGTTATATGACTTGCTTCTTATATAATAGGTAGGGGTTTTGATATTGAATCTTAGTGTAATCTTGCTATTAGTCATTGGGTTTATATATTGAGGTTAGTTAGCTGTTTATCCGGAACATGCTGTGGAAGCAGGTGTTTCCTCAGAGGTAGCCATCTCTAGTTGTCAGACCTTAATCATGTCCCTCATCTCATATCATTCATATCATTCTCTATACTCATTTGTCTTAGCAATTCCCAGCAATTTAAGCCTGTAGCTCTTGCTGAAGATGACTCCCTTTGATATTGTTTCCTTTGTCAAGATGTCCTGTTTGGTAGACACAATAAGCAATCTTTCTCTGCCCCAGCAGAATGAAAGGGTTGAAATGTTACTAATTATAGAAGTTATGGTTCGAAAAAGTAAGGAATGAGAGGGGGGTAAGTAAATCTCTACTTGAGATGAGGTGTTTTTAAGAACATAGGAGAATATATATTGTGTGTATGTATTTACACACATATATGTATGCATGCATGTATGTGTGTGTGTGTGTGTGTGTGTGTAGCTCTTCAAAATAAAAGGAGATAGACAAAGTAGTAGGGGACACCAGAAAGCTAGCAGAGGACATTTTTATAGGTGATCCAGGAAGACTTGACAGAAGAGGTATTTATTCCCATTCATGATAAGAGTTTTCTATTTCTCACAACAAATAATTTAATGTTGGCCTTGACCTCTGAGCCTCCTTTGATCACTAATTTTTAACCTTAGGAGGCATAGCTAGGAGATAGAGGTTCTGGGAGCTGGCCAACTTCCATTGCGGTATGAGAAGACTCCAATAGCCAGGAGGAGGTGAGAAGACTTGACCCTGTGGTTTTATTGCAGTTAAATTTAGTGGCCTTTTCTTGAGTCCCTGCTATGTATAAAAACACTATGTGGAGACTTGAATAAATAAAACAATATTCCTCCCATTTACTGACTTGTGAAGGTTATAAACACATAATGCAACTGAGTATAACGTAAGGCAGAGTTCAGTTGGGATGTTGAGGTATAAACAAAGGACTCTGGAAGCATGGAGGAGGAAGCCATTGACAAGGTATTTTGCTGAAGAAATCAGTTAAGGCTCCATACAGGAAGTAATATTTGATGGAGCCTTGAAAATGAGTGATATTTCAAATGTGGAAAGGAAAGGAAAAGGCCTGGCACAGAGAGGAAACAGCCTAAGCAAGACTTGTAAACACAGGATGTGAACAGTGTAGTATTGCGAGAATAACCAGGGATCACTTGAAACAGTAGGATAGAGCCTTTAAATGACAATGCCAAGAGATTTAGACTATTTTGTAAACAGAAGGAATCCACCAGATGTTTTTGAGCAAGTAGTAATATGCTGTGATTTGTGCAACATTCACTGTGCTGTGAGTGGATGATTTAGAGGGGAATGAAATAGGTTACGGTAGTAATTAGCATCAGTCTATATCAGCGATAGAGTGTCAACTGACATGGTAGGAATGGAAATTGACGGGACTGTATGGCCACACTTGCAGGGTAGAAGCAGTACACACTTCATTACCAGTTTGAAATGGGAAGTGAGAGGCAGAAAAGAAAGATGACTCCAGTGCTCCTACTGACTGGGGTAACACTGTTAATAAATATGGCAACATCAGTGGAAGAGCCTATTTGAATATGGGAAATGGTGAGTTTGAGGTGTTTCTTCCCAGACAAGTATTGGAAATTCATGTCAGGAACTTAAGAGTGGTGCAAGGGTCAAGATGTAAATTTAAAGGATTCTGACTAGACAGATAATGGTGGAAGTTGTGGCACCAGAAGAGTTAGCCCCAAACAAATACAGAGCAAGGAGAGAAGCAAAATCAGTTTGCCATGCTAGAAAACTGCTGTCAGTGGTACAAAGGAGAAAAGCAAATATCAAAGGGAGACCAAATTGTTGATGAGAATAAAACTAGAAAGATTTTCAGAGTAGATAGCAGCTCAGTTTTAGATGCTGGACCGCAGGGATTGCAGTTGGCACTGGGGCTGGAGGGAGTTCTGGCCTGTCCCACATACGAGTTGCTCATAGAAATGTTTATATATGTGAAAGTATTTATAAGTCAGCAGCTCCCTATCCTTTGGCTTGCCATCCTTGCTCATTTTCTTAGTTTTCCTCCCTAAACCTCAGCCCTCCCGCCTCCCATCTTAAAACAGTGGTGGGGTGGGGGTGGGGGGAAATGGAGAGGGATGTTGAATATAAAGGGAACTAAAGTTGAATTGTGAATGTTCTTGGTTCTTATTTTGTAACTTAAAGTGTAAGTAAATTGCATGTCCATTATTCTGAATAAGCCATCTTAATGATAATAATGCCACTTTGTGTAATTGTTAACTCATTGTGTCTCTGGTGGTCATAAGTGTATTTCTCATAAGAAACAAAAATAATACGAAAATTCTGGCTCTAGTAAGCTGGCTTGCATGTATATACTGATTCTTAACGTCACTCATTACCCATTTCATTTTATTCTTTTTCTTAAATTTATTTATTTATGCATAGAAGAACTGAGGTGTAAGCCAGTGGTGCAGGAGGTGAGAGGATTCACCAGAGACAGAGTGGGGAGCAGAACAGGCAGACTGACTGAAACACATTGCTGAGGGGAGCAGCAGGTGAGACAGGCAAGGTCTGCTGTGCCACGTGGGTTGGCATCCTGGCCAGGGGTGGAACTCAGGCCATAGAGATGATAGTGCTGAGACTTAACCCCTAGGCCACCAGAGAGGCCCTCATTTTCATTCTTAAAGGAGCAAGAATATCCTGACTCAGTCTAGGTTTATGCGGGGGCAGTGCTGGTTTTGCTACTTACGCCAGTCATGTATAGTTAGAGTTGACTGGGCAGCCATGCACTCCGGCTCGTCTGTCTCTTGCACTATTACTTTAAGTTTAGGTGGCTGCTTACAAAATTTGAAAACATCATCTTTCCACCTTTGTTTTTTCAAACTTAGCCATCCAGAACATTCATTCTAGTGACTAGAAACTAGTGTTTGCTGGGTTAAGATAACATGAATTACATCTGCTTGCCTTTCTAGATTTTGGCTTCAGTAACCTCTTCACTCCTGGGCAGCTGTTGAAGACCTGGTGCGGCAGCCCTCCTTATGCTGCACCTGAACTCTTCGAAGGAAAGGAATATGATGGGCCCAAAGTCGACATCTGGGTATGTGAGCGCATTGTCTGATACCCTGTAGCATTAGTAACCCTCTATTGATAACAGGTGTCCCCATGTTGGCCAACGCATAATGCTGCGGTGAATTGAGGTCTTTGCATTCCCAATTCTTTGTGCAGTCTTTCCACAAGCACTTGTCTTCTGGACTGAGCCAGAGATTTTTGCACTGCCTATGGCATCTGCAAAGTCCCCCACCAAGAGCAAGCTTAGGAGGGTTCCCTTGCCAAGAACAGAGATTTTTTTCTGTTATTGCTACTTGTCATCCTTAAGGATGGGTCCTAAGAGAGATTCTAGATATGTTACTCAGAACGAATGTTTGGAAGCAGTGAAGATTGCTGACTACTCTAAGGATGATTGACCTTGACAATGTCTCACATTTTTTTGTAAAAAAGGAAGAAAAAGTTCATTCTGTTATCTCATGTGTGGCTCACCATCATCTTCCTACACATACTCTAATGGTTTCTTTTGTTTCCTCTGATGCGGTTAATTGAGAATACTCTCTGTTTGTGTGCAGAGCCTTGGAGTTGTCCTCTATGTGCTCGTGTGTGGTGCCCTGCCCTTTGATGGGAGCACACTGCAGAATCTGCGGGCCCGAGTGTTGAGTGGAAAGTTCCGCATCCCGTTTTTCATGTCCACAGGTAAGGGGCCGGCCCCCAGCACACAGCTATGACTGGACTCATGGAAATTTGGACATTAAGTCATCCCAGGAATTGAGTGGTGGAGTATAATAACAGCCTTCTTAGCTCCAGTGTGCTGACTTGGCACTGTGGAGGCAGGGTTCCATAGGAGCAGAGGACACTGCCTTTGACACTTTGCAGCCTAGCCTGGGTTTGCCTGAGTTTGGCTCGGGGCTCTCCACATTACTACTAGTGGATTGCTAAGTCTGTGTGAGCTTTACTTTCTGCCTTCTATGTGGCCATCAGTTTTTATGAGGGCTAATACTCTGAGGATTAAATTAAATAATGTATCAGAGAGTCAGTAGGCCTATCACATAGTAGCAAGATTACAGGTACTCTTGTTTTACCTCTGTCCTTTGCCAGTGTGCCCTTCCTTTTTCAGGGTGATATTTCCATTTACTGGGACCCCAGTGAAAGGTGGTAAGAAATGCCCAAGATAAAGCAGGCTTTGCATCTTACTCTTGTCACTAGTAGGTTTCCTACTTCTGTGATAATTATCCCCTATACTCAATTAATTTTTAAGTGAGTGGCCAGTAGGGTAAATAGCTCTTGGAAAAATGTAAAACTGAAAACAGTCACCAGATACCCAGAACCAACAGTGTTTTACCACCACTTACATGCACATAAGAAGAGAATATTTTAGAGACACTGCAGAAAGCAGTCTGTTTAATTTTGCTTAGTCATGTGTTTGTTTTAAGAAAGAACATACAGATTATATGGCTTGGTAACAAAGCATAAGCACATGGAAATTGCATTTAGAATAAATAGGGAAAAAATAGGATAAATAGGAAGCATGTACTAGATTTAAGTCTCCTTGGAATTAATGACTTGATAGGATGTCAGATACTAGTAAGTGCTGTGAGAAAAATAAAACAGAGGAGGGGGGTTTAGGTGTGGTTCGTAGAAGATTAATTTAAAATGTATGAAACCCCTTCCCGAGAAAGGCAGCATTCAGTGAAGACTTCAGGCAGGTGAGGGAGGGAGCCGTGCTCTCTGGGAAAGAGCTTTCAGGCAGAGGGAACACTTATGCAAAGGCCCCAGGGAGGGAACACCTTGAGTGTTTAAGGAACAGGATGGAGGACAGTGTGCTCCAAAGGAATGAGTGATGAGGATGAGAGAGACCAAGTCAATGAGGCAAGAGCTTACTTTTAGGGCCCAGTCAGTAATGCAAAGAGTTGTAATTTACTCGAAGTGAAATGCAAGGGATCAGAGGGTTTCGACAGAGGAGTAACACCATGTCACTTTTTTTTTTTTAATTGTGAAAGTTTTCAAACATACAGGAAATTGAAGGAATTTTATAATGACTTTTATTTGAAAAAAAAAATCACTTTGGCCACTTTGTTGGTCAAAAGATTCAAGGGCTGAAGGAAGGAAAGTTAGTGGGGGGCTTTTGCAAAATCCACATGAGAGACATTGGTGGCTAGTTCCCAGACACAGCTGTAGCGGTGGAGATGGTAAGAAGTGGTGAGATCAAAAGATACTACAGATTGTGTGGCAGGCATAGTTCAAAGCATTTTACATGTATTAGCTCATTTAATTATTATAACAACCCTATACGAGATACCTAAGACTATCACCCCTATTTTACAGGTGATAAAACTGAAGCCAGGAGACATTTAACAGTTTTCCCAAGGTAACACAGCTACTAAGCAGCTAAACTAGAACTTGAACTTTGGCAGTCTGTCTCCAACAACATTTATGTTGGATTTAGCATGGCAGGAAGAGAGTAATTAAAGGTAACTCCAGGGTTTGGGAACTGAGCAAGCGGAAGGATGTATTTACTGCTAGTAGAGATGGGACCGACTGGGGAAGAGTACTTACATTTTGGTGATTTTTTGGAGTGTATTAATTTGATATGCCCATTAGACATCTAAATTGAGATATTCTGTAGACAGTTGAATATAGGCTACTATAACTTATTTGAGAGTTGTGAACTAAGGATGTGCATTTGGAGATCATCAGTGTATGAAGCTGAGATGAGAAAGCTTCTTAGGCAGTAATTGCAGAGAAGAGGAGGGGTCCCAGCATTAAGCTGTCGATTACACTCACATTCAGAAATCAAGAAGATAGGAATGGCTTACTAAGGTAAGCTATAGAGCTGTCTGTCTTAGAAAACAAGAAAATGTTTCAAAGAGGAAGGAGGGAGGAGTGGCAAGGAGTGCTGCTGATGGGGAAATGAGGTGACTGGGAACTGAGTGCTGGATTTAGAAATGTGACTGTCATTGAGGATCTTGAAGTGGAGGGACAGGAGCAAAAGTCTGATTTCATGTGATACAACAGAAAAAGAATGGGAGGAAAGTGGAGAAGGGACGTGAACACAAGAAGACACAAGAGGTGGTCCAGTGGATTGCTCTGACCAGTCGTCACATAATTGACTGGATGCTTGGCCTTTATCTTAATGACTGCCCAGTGGTGTCATTTAACATTCACCACCGCTACTTTTTTTTTTTTTTCAAATAAACTTTATTTTTCAGAGTAGTTTTAGATTCACAACAAAATTAAACAGAAAGTGGAGAGAATTCCATCTATCTCCTGTCCCTCCACATGCACAACTTCTCCCCATTATCAATATCCTTCACCAGAATAGAACAGTTGTTACAAATGATGAACCTATGTTGATTTTGTTTACATTAGGACTCACTCTTGGTATGGTACATTCTGTGGGTTTGGTCAAATATATTAAATGACATGTACCTTCCATTGTAGCATCATAAACAATAGTTTCGCCGTCCTAAAAATCCTCTGTGTTGTTTCTTTAAATCTTCTTTGCATTGCCTTTCTGAGCCATCTTATTTACTACCCTGGCTTCAGTGAGCTTGTGAAGCTCAGTCCCTGGTGCACTTTCTGGCCTACACCTTGCTTTTGGGAGGAAGGCTGCCAATCAGCTTCACTTCCATGGCACGACTTGACATCAATGGAAACATTTCCAAAACTGAGTTTAATTCCACCCAACCTAAATTTGTTCTAGTCTTTGTTCCTTGTTTTAGTGAATGGCATCACCATCTGACCAAGGTAGAAACTAGCCTTGATTCTGCCTCTCACTATCGTCACATCCAATAAATTACCAAATCCTGGCGATTCCACCCTCCATTCCTAAGGCCACGTTTGTAGTGGCTCTTGCCTAGATTACATCATAGCCAGCTAAATGGATTCCCGGCTCCTGTCTTTACCCTTGTTTACCCATTCTCCACACTGCTTCATGAGTATCATCTCTCCAAGACACAAATATAAAAACAAACAAAACACACATATATGATCATAATTATTTTCTAGCTTAAAACTTTTCAATGATTTGCCATTGCCTCTAGGCTAAATTTCGCTCCTTAATTTGACTAGAGCACTGACTAGCAAACATTTTTGACCATGACTCTAGTAAAAAATATACTTTATACTGTGACCTAGAACATGGACATAGACATAGATATATATATATATATATATATATATATATATTTAAAAAACAAAACTTGCCTGTGGCAGTATATTTTATTCTATCACATAAAAAAATGTTGATTATAACCTCCTAAATTGATCTCATAACTGCTGTTTGAAAAATAGTAGCATAGAAATACATTTGTGACTGCCTCCTGCCTATCCCAGCAGCCCCCAGATCCTACTGTAAATTAGTTACCCTATTGCCCTGTGGTCACCAGAGTTTGTTTTGTTTGTTTGTTTGCTGTGTTTCTTTATTTGTCATGTGTGAGTGGAATCACACTGACTTAGCTGACTTATTTCACTTAGTGTAACATCCTCACGGTCCCTCTGTGTTGTACAAATGGCAGTTGGCTTCAATTTTTCCATAGGCCTTACCATTACTTCACATTTGTGTTCCCCACCCCCTTCCCACTACCTCTCCACTAGAATTGGATTTTGTTTTTAAAGCAGTGCCTTGGACTTGGTAGGCACTCATTAAATAGTTGTTAAATGAAAGAGTGCCTACATAAGTTTGTTAAAATGCTAACTACCAAAACCCCTACCAAGTATATTCATTGTATTTAATAATATCATTAACGTCAAGAAATTTACATTTCTTTTGGGCCTCCCTGTGGTGCAGTGGTTGAATGCTAGGTTGCAAAGCTGCCCACAGCCTCTGCAGCGCTGGTTCGATCCCAGGCTGCTCCCCGGCCACCGGAGGAGAGTCCCACATGGCGCGCAGACCTCTCCTGCCGCCCGCTGCTCCCCTCAGCAGTGTACTTCGGTCCTTCTGCCTGCTCTGCTCCCCTCTCTGGCTCTGGTGAATTCTCTCACCCTGCTGCGCTTCTGACTGTACCCAGTGCTTGTATAAATAAATAAATAAATAAATAAATAAATCTTTTTTTAAAAAAAAAAAAGAAATTTACATTTCTTGGGGCTTTCAAGTTTATAAAATATTTCCTATACTTGATCTAATTTGTATTGTGTAACGATAGTCTGAAATTGGTAATGCCACAAATTATTTTATCCTTTTGTCAATGAAATTTAAGAAGCTGAAGTTAAAAGAAATTTGTTGACTTGCCTAAAGCTGTACAGGTTATAAATGACTAAGTGCTCAAATTCAGTGTTTGTTCTGCTACACCACTCTGTTGCAAAGAAAGGCAAGATAAACAAACCACTTCCTCTGCTTTTCCAGTGTCCACAGAATTTCCTGTGAGCTACTTGGATCCCCTGTACCCTCCATCCTCTCCCTCCGCCCCCATCCCCTTGCATCACAGCAAACAATTTTCACTCAAACCTCACCAGAGCTGTGTCAGGTAAAATAGCTAACCACGCAGTCAACCACATTGTCTATTACTTCTTGGAAATAATATAATATTTTAAATGCTTAGAAAGAACTAATATGTGTAACATGGTATACAAATAACATGAAAGTTTATAAAGTTCAGAGATTACCAATATAATTGCCCTAAATAGGGTCACCTTTTAATTCAAAACAAGGAATTGCCTCTGTAGGAATAAAGTTAAGTGCAGAAAGTGAAAAATAA